ACATCATCTACACATCTCTACTGCTCCTGCCTACTGTCTGTTCTCAACAGAAGCAACTTAATTTGTAGGCAAAACGTTTAGGAATAAAGTTGCCAAACTGTTGTCTGTGTCTTACCTACCAACCTGTAAAGTAAAAGGACACAAGTGCAACTAATGTGACATTTTTATTGTGGCAACATTTCGCTCTCCAGGAGCTTTGTCAAGCCATTACAAACAGTACATGGACATAGAGGGTATATATAGGCTCAGAGTGAGGTGCAATACTAGTGGTAGTAGTAGTAGTAGTGACATAAGTCATGGTAGTAGTAGTATAATACAATATGGTAGAACAATTAACTTGCACATGAGTAAAAGGATATAGAAGCTATTACTTGGGTAACATAAAAATAGGTTAGACAAATATTTCTATAGGAGGCTGGATAAAGAAGGCCTGTTTCAATGTTCATTCTCTGTTAAGTGCTTGTGTAGTAGGAGAGACAATGTGATGGCAGGGTTTGCTGTTTTCAGGAGGATTCTTGCTAAGACTTCAGAGATGGTGAAGCTGCCTTTGATTTGTTTAATCATATTAGAAACAGCAATTAGTGATGATTCAAGGCACTTGTGTCTGCAGAAATTAGTTTCTTTGATCACTAATTGGGCATCCCTGAATTTCATGAGATGATTGGTGGAATTTCAGTGTTGTATGCAGGCGTTGTTCAAGTTGTCGTTCCTACATGCATAAATGTGTTCATTGAGGTGGGTGTCGAGGTTTCTTGCTCTTTCACCTACATAAATCTTGTCGCAGCCTCCACAGGGTACAGTGTAAACCCTTGTGCTGACTGGTTCGTGGTGTTTTGATTTTGTCTTGGTTAGATCCTTTACTGAAGTGCTGGAAGCGATGGCGACTCTGGTGTTAGCTTGTGAGAGTACTTTAGAAACGTTCAGTGCAACCTGGCTGATGGGAAGAATTATAACTTTGTTAGGAGTGGTGTTGGTGCATGGAGAATTAATGATCTGAAGAGCTCTTTTCTTGCAGTCTTTGATGAAAAAGGAAGGAAAATGTAAATCAGTGAAGGTTTGGTGAATGTACAACAACCGAAATGCGTACAACACTGAAATTCCACCAATTATCTCATGAAATTCAGGGATGCCCAATTAGTGATCAAAGAAACTAATTTCTGCAGACGCAAGTGCCTTGAATCATCACTAATCGCTGTTTCTAATACAATTAAACAAAACAAAGGCAGCTTCACCATCTCTGTAGTCTTAGCAAGAATTCTCCTGAAAACAGCAAACCCTGCCATCACATAGTCTCTCCTACTACACAAGCACTTTACAGAGAATGAACATTGAAACAGGCCTTCTCTATCCAGCCTCCTATAGAAATATTTGTCTAACCTTTTTTATGTTACCCAAATAATAGCTTTTATATCCTTTTACTCATGTGTAAGTTAATTGTTCTACCATATTGTATTACTACTACAACTTATGTCACTAATACTACTACTACTACTAGTATTGCACCTCACTCTGAGCCTATATATACCCTCTGTGTCCATGTACTGTTTGTAATGGCTTGATAAAGCTCCTGGAGAGCGAAATGTTGCCACAATAAAAATGTCACATTAGTTGCACTTGTGTCCTTTTACTTGACATATTGTTGGTAATTCTACCAACATTATTACTACCTACCAACCTGTCGGTTTTGTACACCATTTTGATATTCATTCAATAGAGTTGTAGATGAGTGGAACAAACTCCCAATTGGTGTCAATGAGGAGAGAACCTTGGATAGCTTTACTATTATTATTAAGAGTGAGTGTAAACTAGCTTGCCTGGCATGGACTAAAGACCTACTACAGTACTCCATTACTTCCCATTAACAGGTAAATATATATGGCCTACACAAGTTTAGCATGGAATCCAGTCGCTCATCATTTAACCTCTAATCTTTAACTGCTGCCCTAGGGATGGGTATTGGGGTGTAAAATAAAGATATTAAAAAACTAATGGGTTTAGCAATTTTTGTGAAAATAATAACAGGTAAATAATTGCTATACTACTGAATATTATTACTATGTACAATATGGGCTCCACAGCCAATTATAATTCTACCCTGAGAAAAGTATTTAGTGCCCTGAACTCTTTCTTCCTGCCAAAATCATTGGTTGTGTTATACTAAAGGTCAATGCCCTTGCAGCCTGGTCCATGGCCAGGCAGTGAGGCCCTGGTCTGCATGAATTTGAAGTGTGAATTTCACAAGAGATTTAGTTACTCCTTGCTGTGATTAGAAGTCAAGTGGCTTTACTTGGATATCTTCATAAGCTTGAAAAAAAAAAAAAAAGAGTATTAATACTGGAAATATATTTGAATTTCCATAGTTGATTGCATCAGCCTATAAAGATCTACAATGATCAATTATTTGCACAAGTGCAGCAAACCCACAAGTTTACTTTGATAAGCTATATTATGCATCCTATACCCATCCTGTGAGCAACAGTCTAAAGATTACATAAGTACAGTATATAATAGGTCTGGTAACGGGTTCCACACCAAACCTGTGTGGAGTCATGCAGCATGTTTGTCATTTGTCGAAATTATGGTCGCCCATACAAAATTTATGCATACTTACCCTTCAAGGGGGCATCTTGATGCTGAAGGGCTCTTGATGTAAGCAACTGCAGCTGCCCTCCACTTGCACCAAACTTGATTGCCAACATTCCTCAGGCAAAGTACAACCCTACAGGTTAGCTCTTCTCATGAATATATTCACAGGGAAGAGCTAAACCCACATGGAAGTGGGTTATACACACCTGGGCATGAGAATTACTGTAAGAAAGATTGATTCAAGGGAATGGCAGATCCAATTCTTTTAATAAAGTCACCCTTTTCACTTGAGAAGTCTGAAGATAGAAAGCATAGGTGCATTTATGAGAATAGTAAATCTAATTTTATCTTGTTACATACATGCTCACTGAAGACTAGGAGATAAATATAATCACTCAGCTGCCTGCTTTATTCATATCATGCATATTAGATTTACAATTAAAATATTACATAAAAAAATATAAAAGATAATTAAAATAAGATTTAATAAAAGATTTATTTATAAATCCTGTAAATATAGTTTTGAAATGTGTAAATAAATTCTAAAGTACAATAACTTTTTATGTAAGTATTCTTTAATTCTGTAACTAAACTAAATCTTTACCATGTACTAAATCTAAAGATATGGAATATGATGTGTGGTTTAGGTATCTAAAAATCTGCCAAGATACATTTAGTTGATGACATTTAAATACTGTAGCTGACTAACAAAGACCAAAGTCTTTTATAACATTAGACAAAGAATATTTAAAAAGAGATATGAAAGTACAATTATAGTGTAGTAATATACTGTACACCAATATGAGTATTTTAAAGAATTTTGAAGTTGTAATATAGTTTACAGAAAACTCTTAAATTTAAATATAAACCTGAATATTTGGCTCATTTAACATATGCAGTACAATTTTACATTAAGGTGAGATTTGAGCATTTGTATTTGCAGTGAAGAAATGAAATGTGAAATTGGTAGTATTAAAAACTAGTTGATAATGGCTGACATCTACAAATACACGTATAATCAGTTGTACAAGTACACAACAAGCATTTAAGGAAAAATATGCTTTCAGACACTTAACAGTTCCAAAATCCCTGGGCAGTTAATTACGCATGATCACACTAAACTCTCGATTTAATACACTAATAGGGAAGGTGTGAGCAGCCAGTGATGCTGTGTCGAGATGAGATTGTTTTCCCATAATTTTAACAACGATCACTTCTGTAACCAATGGACGTTTTCTTTTGATTCCGAATCAAATAACTTGGTGGATTTTATTTGTATTTGAAAAGTTCGTTAAATTGAGGTCCATTAAATCGAGGGCTTACTGTAAGTTAGTGCAAAAATTACATGTTGCTGAACAGGAATGCACAACTGGTGCCACCAAGCATTACAAATGTGGCACTTGATGTCTTAAAAAAAAAAAGAAGAAGAAAAAAAAAGAAACACTAATGCTTACTTGCGACACTGAATACAGTAGATCACCACCTTTTGAGCTTCCAGCTACTGCATTTCCTACACTTCACCATTCATATTTTATGTCCTATTTCTGTCTTTCTATTATGTAATAATTTAAGAGAATTTTAACATTAGTCAAACCGAATAGAATTCTTCAGTTTTTGCTCCAGTGCAAGTGGGATATTTCCCTCCCATGCACCTCTGGCCTCTAATGTTTTACCCTAAACCAAACATCACTGTGGTGTTTATACCCACCCCCACCCATGCCACCACCAGTTGCCTCATGGACATTATTCTCCTGTGTTTATCATTCCATTTCCAATATTTTCATCACATTGTCTCACGTGGATATTAATTATGGCATCAAAAAGAATATCTAATGTTAGTTAAGGTGCTAAGAAGTTTAAGAATGAAACTAGTGAAAACGAAAGTTGCTTGAGACGCTCAAAGGTGGTTCAAATATGAAGATGGCAACTTTTGCCTTTGGTGTAAGAGAACCAACAATTCATTCAATTCAAGACAATGAGAGGATAAGAGCTTGTGTAACAAGTAACCATGACTAACCATGACCTGATGAAAAAATAGGAGGGTTCAATACAGTAACCCTTTCCACTGAGTCAAACCCATCGTGCATCAACAACCAGAATTTAAGATAGCAAATACAGCATTCACATTGTTTGGGTTCACTGGGTTAACTTAGGTTAAATTATCCTAATTTTATATAATGTGCTGAACACAATTTTTTTTTTTTTTTTCAACAAACCGGCAGTATCCCACCAAGGCAGGGTGGCCAAAAAGAAAGAGCAAAGTTTACCTTTTTAAATTAGAATTTATACGGAGAAGGGTTATAGCCCTGTCCGCATTTTTGGTGCCTCTTACAACACGCATGGTTACGGAGAAGAATTCCTGTTCACTTCCCCATAATATGTGCCCCCCCAAGACATGTAAAATATTCTTCCCTATTTTTGCAAAATTAAGTTAAAAATACATGTTAGATTTTTTTGAAGTTTCAGGAACAAAATCCTTTTTTTTTTTTTTTAACAAATCAGCCGTCTCCCACCAAGCAGGGTGACCCAAAAAGAAAAACTTTCATCATTCAACACTTTCACCTCACTCACACACAATCACTGTCTTTGCAGAGGCGCTCCGATACGACAGTTTAGAATTCCCTCCAATCTGTTTATATATAGTTCCAATTTCAAGAATGTAACCCACACAAAAGGTGGTGGTCTACTATACCTTTCATTTGTTTCACTCAGTTTGCAAACTGTACTTAGGTTTCAGTCATTAATATTTGTTCAATGAAAAGGTTGTGTATCCCTGCTGTTGAACAATGAGAATCATTAACATTTTTCATTAGCCTCCACTTGTATCATATCTTTACAAATGTCTTGACATTACTGAAATGACAAGCTGGGGTAATATAAACATTTAAAGTTTCATAGTAAAGCTATTACTGTTAATGCCCAAAAAGAGTGGATACAATATAAATATTTATTATACTTCTTAAATGATTTACATCCAAACAGCCTTTAAACAGTACCAGTGAAACACTTGATAATTTTTTAAACACCATGTAAGATAAAAATGGCACTTCTGAGTCAACACATGGATTATCACACTACACTACAAGTTATTTTTTAGGGCTCTTGTCTGCTTTCATGTAGGCTAACAGTATAATACTACTTTTATTTAATGTGAAATTGTTTGTGCAGTTTTTTTTAAAGTAGAATACAATGCAGTTTCCTTACAAAAAAAACTCTTAAAATACAACTGTAATCTTCAGCATTAAATTAAAAAAGGTACATAGTGTTAAATTAAGCTACAGTACAAAGTGTTTGCTTGCATATAACTCAAATATAGCACTAAGATATCTAAGTTAAAACTAAAGATGCAATGACATCACTCCGACAACCCGCATTATAAAAATAGAGAGGAAATGAGCTATATTTTGATCCGGTCTGGGAACCTCTTCAGCACAGAGAAAATATTTAACTGCACTATGGAGGATCGCAGGGTAAGAAGTGAAATATCATATTCATTTTAGTTTTTCTATTTTGAAAATGTAGGTTTTGGCAGTGATTTTCTAGTATGAGAGTACATTTGAATATATATATATATTTCACAAAATACTGCTTCATTACACAAAACTCTTTAAACAGTTTCCACACATGAAACACTCATTGACAACACTTTTCTTAATGACTATTACCCAACAATTTGGTACATTATTCTGGTATTAAAGAGATCTTAATATACAACAATGTGTTTGCTTGCAGGATACATCAAGATAAAGCCTATTTACCTGAAATCTTGGAATAAGATTTTAAGACACATACTGTGTTTGCAGATAAAAGTATAACACATGAACTGTCCAAGTGCCAATTCCTTACTAATGAAGTCTATCATAATCACTTCTAAGATAAACCATCAATTACTGATAAGTGTTTCATAACAAATGATATTATGTAATACTATTCCAAAGTAGGCTCATTTTTCAAAAAGCCATGCTGTAATATTAAAAGATAATGTTAATATCTGAATTAGACTCCCTAATTAGCTCTGCCCTAAGGCACAAATACGTAGCATAAAAGAACTGTCATTGGGGTGTAGTATTGCCCACAAACTAAACAAGCACAGGCTTCTTGTCCATCCCAAGGCCAGTAAAGCCATTGAATAATGGAAAAATACTGGGAATGAACATGCAGAAGTACATCACGAATATATTTATGCCAAAGTTAAGGCTCATATAAGCAATATAAAAGGCAGTAAATAATCAAATTTATGGAATTATATAAACAGAAATGTTAAGCAACATAATTAGAAAAAAGCACAAAGCATAGGTAGAGCTTTACAAGAATGTAGCAAAATCAATAGGTTCTGGTGGAATGTCAGAGTTAAAGGGAAGACAAAATGGGAACATCAATTTAACATGCATTCTTCTATATTGCACAAGTGCACAGCCATATATGTAGAAACAACAGCACATCATGACTTGAACGCAATAAACATTGAAAACAACAAAGAGCTTCGTGCTAACTATTTTGAGGAGTTTATTAGCAAAATAATTAAAATTTACATATTATATATGTAATATTGAAAATGTATTTAACAAAGAATTGGCTGAGCTGTGGTTAGATTATCTGGTAAACAACCAAAGGGTCCTGGGTTCGATCTCCAGGCAGGTCAAATCACCTTGCATGTGCTGTGTTACAGTAAATAGGTACCAGTGTGTTTGAGCAACCCACAACTGTTGACTTGTATCCTTAATTGAATAAGGCATTAATATGACTATCAGTTATATTATTGGAAGTTTAAATTCAATAAGCCACTAGTGTGAAGTAAGGGAAGGAAAACATACCAATATTTAAGAACTTTTTTGAAGTTCCTAGCACATTTATAATGCCCTCGTAAAAATGAACGGGGTCAAATTTTCTAGTGTCTGGTGAAGTCTGTAGTGTGGAATCACACTTCCCAGCATAAGGTAGTATGATGTCTGGCACTTCGTATCCCTTCAAAGGAAAGGGGTACTTGATGATGGTGAAATTATCAAAGAATTAAAGCTTACCCACTCCTTCGATCAAACCCAATTACCTCTTATACCACAGGCACTATTCCCTTTGAATCAAATCCATTTACCTCCTATACTACAGGAACTATGCCCTTTGAATCAAACCCGATTACCTCCAATGCCACAGGCACTATCCCCTTCTCTGAATCAAACCTGATTATTTCCTATGGCACAGGCACTATCCCCTTCTTTGAATCAAACCTGAATACCTCCTATGGGACAGGCACTATCCTTTTCTTTAAATCTAACCTGCTTACCTCCTATGGCACAGGTACTATCCCCTTTGAATTATATCTGATTACTTCCTATTCCCCAGCTACCACATGATCTCGAAGTTTAGTGTTTTACCATGAATATAATTAAAATACAGTACATTACTGCAAAATTCTAGCTAAATTACATATTACAGTTCCATACTTTGATAAAAACTGCTAAAAGCCTACCTACCATATCAATCTATACTCTATCATGCAACAAACTAATAATTTTAGTATGAGTGAAGACTTGTCATTACAGTACAACAAAACATTTAACACATTCTTGACAGCTGGCTGAAAGACAGACTTTTGAGACCTGGTCAGTAATCACTAAGGCCCAGATATGTGAAACCTTACCATACTTACAACTGGCATTTATCACTGTATTACTGGTCACACTTTCCTGCCTTATTTCTAACAGTTGTAACCCTTACTGGAATGCAATGCCCAAACTATGAAATGATTATATACATGATATTAATCGTATGCATTTAGCCTATCCTCAAGGTATGATGCATAAATAATGCTGCCTCCAATATATCTGAAAACGTTACACTTGACAGCTCTAGATACATACAAATATGATGTAGACCTTCATCTGCATTGAAAAAAAGGCAATATATGAAAATATCAGTCATATTTGGAAGTACCAAACATAATAATTAAGTAGATCAAAAGAAAAGAAACTTAATGGGGCACCATGGAAAGTGTAAGATGAGGATAGACTTAACAAATCACATTAACATTTTTACTAACTAGATATATGCATCCAGCAGTGCATCTGTCTGAGACTCATGGTCAGAGCTTATTGCATTCCCTATATTTTTTGCATAATCAAGTCTTTGATCTCTTTGGTCCTAAACAAAGTACATGAATTACTAAAGCTAGTGAGAGTTTTTGCAGATTACAAAATCTATCAAAAAAATCTATCTTTATTATATACCTTAAGTGCTTTTTTTTCTTTTTTTCTTTTTGTGCAGCACCTAATATACTAAGTGCAGCAAGGAAATGAGTACTAATTTCAGAAAAATTCAACAAATTCATTCTAATAGCTTCAATCTCTTACACAATATTCATCTTAATATTACTGAAATATGTGTATTTAGCAATGACCCATAATAAATGCAAAACAGTCAAACATCAAGGCAACATTTCATCACATAAAGCTTTTTCCCTGCTAAGCCATCTTGTACATTTCTGTAATACAGTATTTGTGTTGTGATATAATTTTAATTGTTAAGGCTCTCTCTGTTGTATTTAGTTGTCAACAACAATAGCCACAGTTAGAAAAGCAGACATACATACTTTCATTCCAATGATCCACTGAATACCTTTCAATATTCAATATTGTACCTGCTCCCACTTTACTCATTCTCTCCTCTATCCTACTCTTCTTAAAGAGGGCAAATCACAGTCTGATGCCTTGATAATGGTTCAGGACAACCTGCTTCATCTATTTTCATCTCCAATCTGTGGGTTAGTTGTGAACACTATTCTTATCTATCCTTTCCTATGCTAGCACATCCTCTTCTGCACTGACACTCACAATTCACTGTATCACAGTAATTCCTAAATTCATTTTATTCATTTTCCTCTCAAAACACAAGTCAGAGGAACCATTTATTTATTATTAATTTAAGAAATGACTTATTTAGGTATCTACCTTAGCCTAATTTCTCTTCACAGAGAAAGTTTTCTGGGTTTTGAACATTTTAAAATGCATCTAAACACATCTTAAAAAACCTAATTTTAAAACAAGTGATCGTAATCAAACGTGAAATAATTTTTCAACACAATGTTGATTTTGAATATTCAAAACCAATGTGTCTGAATACTGTAAGATGTTACAATATTCCCATTAATTCATGGCTCTATTTTTTTGACTAAATGCTTATGTATTAAAAATTTATTTCCTATATTCATTACATGGCTTTTCTGAAGCAATATCACCATCAAGTATTACAGGTACTCTCCTTATTACTCTCATAGTACTATGCAGTACTGTATCATAAGAGTAAGGTTATAATACTGACAAGTTGATGAGTAAGATGTGTGCAATACACGAGTATCCTTATTGACAGATGTTTCACCTATGCAACAGGCTTTCTTACTATAATACACAGACATGAAGATAGATCCTTATATACTGGAGCTAGTACTAGAGATGTAGCAGTTGAAGATATGGTCATAGGGGGGGGGGGGCATAAGTTGGGCCAGAGATTAGTAATGGAATTGTAGAAGATATTTTCTGTACCAAGATTTAATGTCATTACTGTGCCACATACGTATCATTAGACTGAAGGGACAATACCAACAAGCTGATGAATAAAACAGGTGCCAAACCTGGATAGGTTTACCAACAAGGCCTAATGTGAAGGTGAAATGCCTTTCAGTAAGAGTATCCAGGTGTTGTAAACAAGTCTTAGTCATCAACTTGCTAGTATTATACCACTGATTTAATGATAATTGTCTGAGAAAGCAACACCACAGGGTCTTGATACAACTTCTTGCTATATCCATGGCCCACCTTATGGGCCTAACCTTCCTCCACCAACAGGCTCTGCCACTTAACCACATGTTGAACTGCTGCATCTCTCCACTTCTTCCACTTGCTTCAGTATTACATTGATAAAACTTACAGTGCAGGTGAAACATCTCTCAATTAAGATACCCAGGTATTGCACATGTCTTATCATACAGAACATTACCTGTGTTTTACAGCACTCGCCAGTGAATTTAGCATGCTTAGTATGACTACTGCTTAAGTAAAGTAGTCACTATATTTTTTGAAATAAAGATTGGGTATGTTACAATACAAGTTGCCTAAGGAAGGAGGTCATTACAAACAGGTATGGTAACAACATGGAAAGATGCAAATTGGGAACAAATATATGCAGAAAGCTAAAGGTAACTGGAAGGAATAATTAAGAGGACTTGGCAAACATTGTGAAAGGGTAATAAACCTCAAAATGATGCAAACTAAAATAAATGGCACTATTACAATATGGCATGATTGAACTTTTTATTTTGCTGCATGACCCATACAGATTTAGCACACTTTTTATAGTAATAAATTATTTTTTTTAACAATACATTACAGTATTAACTATAATAGTGGCTACTAATAAACCTACTGGTATGTTTCAATATCTTGGCCTTTAGAAGAAAATTAAAGTGCTGAAATATTTTTTTGTAACACATTGGCCGTTTTCTACTAAGAATACAGAAAATTTTTGTGCACATATATATTTATATATATATATATATATGGGTGAGGGGCTTGGACTTCCAGCAAGTGTGTGTGTTAGATAGGAGTGAATGGAGACAAATGGTTTTTGAGACCTGACGAGCTGTTGGAGTGTGAGCAGGGTAATATTTAGTGAAGGGATTCAGGGATCTGAGCCCTAGAAATGGGAAGTACAATACCTGCACTTTAAAGGAGGTGTTTAGGATACTGGCAGTTGTATCTGAGCACCTCTGCAAAGACAGTGATTATGTATGAGTGATGGAGACAGTGTTGAATGATGATGAAAGTTTTTTTCTTTCTTTTTGGGTCACCCTGCCTCAGTGGGAAGCAGCTGACGTGTTAAAAAAAAAAAAAAATCCTGGCTTAGCCTAGATGCTCTACCATGTAGGCTAAGCAAGGACTCTTGCTGGAATATATACTGTATCAAATGATGCTGCTCCTACCAACCATGTTCAATCTCTTGCACATCAAATTTCTTACTCAGCAAAGAATAGAGGTAACATGCTTACTGAATACTGTACAATCTTTAATGGTCAAGTATATTAGAGAATATGATAAGTTTTTAGCTTATCCATGACTAATTGTTCCAAATACTACCTTATTATAAGAGTTAAGATAAATCTGTCAACTATCACCCGCTCAGTTTTTTGCTATTTTAATAAAGTGCTTCAAAGCCTTCCATGTTTTGTATGTTTGCAGGATGCTGGGAGTTACAATATGCATTATAATTCAACACAATACACCTGATGCATTATTCTCCTCCTGAATATACGAGGTGTTGCCCAGCAGAAAAGAATAAGCGCCACATTCAAACAATAGAGTAAAATGCATGCATGGGGAAGATTGGAGATGTGAAGCTTAAGTTACCATACTTTGTTTTGGGGTTCTGAGCCTAACTTACATTACAACAAACAGACAAAACATTAAGGAAACTACCTGTTCACTAACCCAGATTTTGGCCGTGACTGCACTTATTTTCTATTACTACACAACACCTCATATATATATATATATAAGCATTTCTTTGATTTCCTAAATTCACTCAAGAAAGCTCACTATGCTGAGTGAAACACTGTGTAGCTCCATAAACAAAAGTTCCTGCTTATCAAGTTGCTTTTATCACTTCTTATTGGCTGTTGCCACAATTTCACAAATCCACATTTGTTTATTAGTGACCATTCTGACAAAACAATTTGAGCAATAGTTTGAAACCCAAGGTTTATGTATGAATTAAAATATGCTAAGTCATGCATAAAGTATACTAACTCTTCCCCTCAAGGTGCCTTGAAGCTAATGAAGGAACACTTGATACAGGGAACTGGACTTAACCTTCCCTTCCTTGGATCAAACCTGAAGGCCTTTCATTCCTCAGGTACTATATGATCCTTATTGGTTTAGCATTTTCCACAATTTAAAAGAAAAAATGGACCCACTTTTGGCTATGTCAATATGATATCCTCACTATTAACCTATGACATTTTGGTCCAACTTGACCCATTACCTAGTCACATACACTCATGAAGGGAAGGAAGCAAGAATATATATATTTATGAGATGGGGAGCAGGGCTGGGAGTAGTAGGACAAGTAGAGGTAGTAGTATAATTTTAGAAGTAGAGGTACTGGTAGTAGTAGCAGTAGTAATACAAATAGTGTAACAGTGGCATAGTGGCATTGTTGCAATACATGTACTTATACTACTAATACTACTACTACTACTACCACCACCACTACCTCTACCAATACTTCTACAATTATACTATACAGTAGTACCTTGGTACTCGAACAGCTCCCAACTCAAACAATTCAGTATTCAAACACTTTGTCCGGTAAAAAAAATTGCTCGGTAGTCAATTGTTTGCTCGGCACTTGACCAAATATGTGCGTCTGTCTCCCTGCAGCTGTCACTTAGTGCAAAACTCCGCTGAACTTCGCTGTAAACTATTTCATGTTTCTTCGCATTTTTAGTGTTTTTATATTATTTGTATAAATAAGTCACCATAGGGCCTAAGAGGGTTAGTGATAACAGCCAGCCAAAAAGAAAATTGGTTAAGAGTCACAACAGAGATGAAAAATTGTTATTAATTATTCCTTATGGGAAAAACTAGTTAGGTACTTGAATAGATCGGCACTCGATTAGCCTTCTGGAATGAGTTAAGTTCGAGTACCAAGGTACAGTGGACCCCCGGTTAACGATATTTTTTCACTCCAGAAGTATGTTCAGGTGCCAGTACTGACCGAATTTGTTCCCATAAGAAATATTGTGAAGTAGATTAGTCCATTTCAGACCCCCAAACATACACGTACAAACGCACTTACATAAATACACTTACATAATTGGTCACATTCGGAGGTAATCGTTATGCGGGGGTCCACTGTACTACTGTAACTGCTACCACCTCTTGTCTTCCTACTACTCTTGGCCCCACCCCCCCCTCTCATATATATATAATGACTCCCTTCCCTTCATGCTTCTGTGTGACTAGTTAATGGTCCAAGTCAGAGTGAAGCATCATCATGTGTTTCATTCTCCTATGTGTAGGTTTATCTGTGTACTGTTCCAGTCACGGTGTTTTGCCTATTTATTCTTTATATCCTCACTAAGTTAGAAACATTGAAAAACTACTATCATGAAAGAATGATTATGTTATTATGTGTGATTATTAATGATACCTTTTACTCTACAGGGCCTTTAAAGTAGATAAGCAGCATGGTAAACCACAATTAAGCCATAAGATGAACTGAAAATAAATCAAGCATGGCTAGTGTATAATTCAGACATGACTCTACATGCAGGTAAAGTACATACAATTTTACACACAGTGTGGTGTTAAAGTATTCACTGTTAATTCTTTGGCACAGTAACTTCAGGCTACAGAAGTAATATGCACACATACCTCACTTCAGTTTTAGTTATTTCCACATATCTAATGTTTCTTTGCTTTTCTGTGTTAGCTAATCTCATTCGAGTATCTAAGAAGCCTTTTTGCATAAATTTTTAAGAAAGCACCACAATTCTTTCATAGAATAACTACATACTACATACATTGCACAAAATTAAAAAAAAAAAAAGGCACTATTAACTTTGCATTCCTATAAATTACTTCAAGCCTGCATTTCTTTAACTTAGTGTTTAAAAGATGAAAATTATGCCTACAGTCTCTTGCAAAACAAGGAATATATTATCAATACTTATGACTGATGTACTGTATCATATAATTTTTTAAATATTTTCTTCAGCATCATTCATAAATCAAGGGCTTTAGCATCAGTCCCCAAGAGCGTGATTAAAATTCATAACAATCATAATTATCAATTCATTATTGTACACACAAACTACAGGGTATTTCACACACAGAAGGCCCCAAGATCGTATTTCCGTAGTTGCAACCATCTTGTTTGTGTATTATGTCTTCAGCAAACGATAAATCGGGTCCTACAGGTAGGAAGTCCTGAGTCATCATTTACTACAGACATAATATACAAACAAGACGGTTGCAACTATGGGAGTACCGACTCGGAGCCTCCTACGAGTGAAACACCTTGTATTTGGAGCACAGTGTATGCTCCAAACCAGTAGGTCCCTCAGTACCTAAGTCTCAGACAACACGAGATGTTGTGGCATCCACAGTCTGAAGTAGCTCGTGTTCCTATGTTAAAAAGTTAACCTCACATTATATGAAGCTGCAGATAGCTCTTTAAGTAATTAGTTTTAATGTTTTGAAAATTTTTTGAGCTATGTTATTTACACATTATTGTAGCCATTCACCAGTGCTACTAAACTTTTAAGAGCTGTCTCAGGCCAAACCTCCATTAACACTGGAGCAATACAAAGTTGATAGTAGCACATGTTACTTTATTATTAAAATGCCTTTATGAGGGTACACCATACCTATATAAGAATACAGTGCCTTTGGAATGTAATTCTGATTCATACTTGTGCAGTATAATGATCCCAATGGTACTGATAACTAACTTCTGGATACATAACACCCCTCTACAAACCTGTGTATTGCAATATATCATGGAAGAATTAAGATATTATTGCACTTGCAGATTGTAAAACAAATTCAAGTGTGAAGCTTCTCCACCTGCACACGCACACACACACACAGGCATGCATACATGCACACACACAAGGAGACAATGAACCTAGTAGTGACCAGTGAAGATGGGACCAGGAGCTGAGACTCGACCCCTGCAACCACATACAGGTGAGCACGCACACACATGCACACAAACACATACACACAACAACAAAAATAAATAAAAAGAGTCTCTTGGTCTATCAAGGCAAATCACTACTTACCTTAAATGTGAGAGTTTTACTCTGTTGCAGATCTGAGCTTCTAAGTCCTTAATTATTATCAGCAGCCAAATAATTTTTGCTATTAAAGTGCAATAATCTGCTCTAAACAAACTTTCATCTTTTGTTGGCATACTGCAAATACAACATTATACAGGGACATTATCAGATCTACTAAATTCATACACCACGCAATTCCTTCATTCTTCGTTGGATGTAAAATGCCATGTCTTCATACCTGCAATAAGAGGAATCATACAGTAAACTACTCTACCCAATTAATAAAAGTAAGTTCCTAATTTTATACATAAAAAACAAAGTTTTTTATCATATTTTTCATCTTCAGTGCTGTAATATACAAATGCAAAAGTGATGGGAATCTGACTGGTCCAAGGCCAGGCTCCGTGAGTAAAAAAAAAACTCCAGAACTCATCAAAGGTGCCGTCTACTTTGGGACGCCCTGACTGAGCAGGATGTGACCTTTTGATTAAAAAAAAAAAATAAGTTCTGGAAAAAGTACATGGGAGGTTCAACTCACTTTTGCTTAACAGCAAGAATTTGCCGCAGTTCTTCTTGCTCGTACTGTCGAAGGATGGCACGACATTCGGCCAGGCTTAAGTTAAGGAACTGTGCCACCTGAAGTAAATTTTATGCAAATAAGTATATAATTAATGTTACACTACATTTTATTTTCAATGCTCCTCATAATTATTAGAACATTCATGCCACATTTATACAATAGTTTTTGTTAGTACAGTGGACCCTCGACCAACAATGGCATCGACTAACGATAAAATCGGGTAACGGTGAGTTTTTGTGTAAAAATATTGGCTCGACCAACGATGAAAAACTCGGGTAAGGACATTCGTCCCAAACGCGTCCGCCTGTCTGTCCAGCCTGAGTGCTTCAGCTGCCCTGCCTTCAGCTAGTGTGCCATTGTTTACAGGCCAGGGCAGACGGGTTCTACGCATACATTCAATACATTTTGTATTATTCCATTGCTTTTAGTGCTTGTAAATGCTAAATAAGCCACCATGGGCCCAAAGAAAGTTCTAGTGCCAACCCTGTGGTAAAAAGGGTGAGAAATACTATCGTACCACGATCAGCTGCTGCTGCACCACCGTCAGCTGTTGCTGCACCACCATCAGCTGCTGCTGTACCACTGTCAACTGTACTACTCGAATATATGGAGTGTGTGTTGTTGGTGTGGCTTAATGAGAAACAATTAACCCCAGAGGGTTAGCCACCCAGGATAACCCAAGAAAGTCAGTGCGTCATCGAGGACTGTCTCAACTTATTTCCATTGGGGCCCTTAACCCTTTCAGGGTCCGTCCCGTAGATCTACGGCTTTACGTTCAGGGTCCAAACCGTAGATATACGCCATGAGCTCAGCTCACTCTGATAAACTGTGAGTGGTACATTTGGGCCTAGATATGAGAGAATACATCTATGTGGTATGTGTGCACCACATAAAACAGATCCTGAAGCACACTGTGTATAATGAGAGAAAAAAAATGAAATCATGATTTTTCGATTAAAACAGCAACTTTGCAGTGTTTTTTTTCGTATGTTTTTTATAGTTGTATTTGCGATTTCTTGGTCTCATTTGATAGAATGGAAGACATATTACAGAAATAGAGGTGATTTTGATTGGTTTTAGCACTGGAAATGGCTTGAAAACTGAGCTCAAAGTAGCAGAAATGTTAAATTTTTGCCGATATTCAAGAGTAAACAACGACCTCACACGTCTAATACACATCAGCTGGTGGGTCTAATATACATTCACAAATATGGTGATGATATTTATACAATTATTACAGTATTGCATAACAGTAAATCTTCTATTTTTTGGTGTGAATAAAAATTCATTTATGTGAATAAAAAATCAAAATGGAATTTATTTGTAAAGCCTCAAAAACATAACTAATGAACAGAGGAAATGTTAGTTTAGTGCCAGGAATGCTTAAATTGTTCATTCTGGACCCTATTTTGAAATTGGAATATTTTGAACTTTGTGTTAAATTGGCCAAATTAACAATTTCTGATCACTTTATTTTGTAGTTGAAACAGTTGACTTGGCGATTTCTTGTGCTCAATCGATAGAATAGAAGTAATACTAGTGAAATAGCTAAGAATTTGGTTGACTGGAATAATGTAATTGGCCTAAAATGGGAGTCAAAGTCGGCAAAATCGCCGATTCGTAAATATCGCTGACACATCAAAATTCGCGAGAGCATAATTTCGTCAATTTTCCACCAAATTTCGTACTTTTTGTTTTATTACCTTCACAAAAAGATTCTCTACGATTTCATAAGAAAAAATAACAAATTTTTTTTTTGAAAATTCTTGGACACTGGTGCGTGACTCCAGATTTGGGCCTTGGACCCTGAAAGGGTTAATCTTGTTCCCCAGGATGCGACCCACACTGGTTGACTAACACCCAGGTGAACAGGCAAAAATGACTGGAACTAGTGCTCATATTGGCGAATTTAAGGCCAGCAAAAGTTGGTTTGAGAGATTTAAGAATCATAGTGGTATACACAGTGTGACAAGGCATGGTAAAGCTGAAAAATTCCAACCCCAACAAGTGTTCAATTGTGATGAAACAGGCCTGTTCTGGAAGAAAATGCCAAACAGGACCTACATTACTCAGAAGGAAAGGCACTCCCAGGACACAAGCCTATGAAAGACAGGCTAACTCTCATGTTTTGTTGTAATGCTAGTGGGGATTGCAAAGTGAAGCCTTTACTCATGTATCACTCTGAAAATGCCAGAGTGTTCAAGAAAAACAGTGTCTCATCAATACTCTTCAATAAAGGTAAGTGTCATTTTTAGTATTTATTTATGTATTTATTGTGCATGTCTCATTGTTTTCTTTGTAGGGAAATGTATATTTCATGTAAAAATATTTTTTTTTTTTAATACTTTTGGCTGTCTGGAATGGATTAACTGGATTTCCATTATTTCTTATGGGGAAAATTAATTCGGCTAACGACAAATTCGGCTAAGGACAAGCTCTCTGGAACGGATTAAAATTGTTGGTCAAGTGTCCACTGTATTACAGTACATAGGAAACGTACATAAACTAATCTTAACCCTTAAACTGTCCAAATGTAGATCTACGTTTATGTGCATACCGCTCCGACTTTAATTTTCCCCATTTGAAAGCATGTAAAAAAACGTAGGTCTAAGTTCAGAGCGCTATGTGAGCGAACATAGATCTATGTTTGGACAGTTTAGGGGTTAATGCTTCAGCTCCTTGTAATAAACCTAATTACCTGCCGTTTCCCCTATATTGCATGACCACTGCAAGTTAAGCGCTACCCTAAGAATAAAATAATAAATGCACGAATATAAGGGGTAAATTCTTCACTAACGAGACTCAAGACATTGTAATATACTTTTAAACAAACACTTATCCATACAGAAGAATTTTAAACATAAGAAAAGCTTGGGGATAATTCATGGCCAACAAAAATAATACAATTCTGCCTTTGTTACACTTCTTTGAAAAAAAAAAAAAAAAAATATTGCAAGGATATACCTAAAATCAACTTGTAACACTGTACGTATTTCTACTTTATAAATATTAACCTGACAAGAGCAGGGTAATGTTTGTATATTTATAAACAAGCGATAAGCCTGTATGGGTCATGCTGAGTAGCAGGGTTAATAATTTGGTAACATGGATATTCAAAAAATCCTATGCAAATAACCTCTCATAGATGTGATATACAGTGTTATGTTTCACTGTCATAATATTCATTACTAGCTATTATTATTATTACTGATGGGGAAGTGCCAAGCCATAGGGATCGTACAATACCTGGGGAATGGGAGGTAATTACATCTGATCCAAGGGAAAGGTAATTTCAATTCCTGGGATGAATAGCCCTTCACTAGCCTCAAGGCACCACCACTGAAGAGTCAGGTATTTGTCAGTGAGTTTATGTGACATTCACTGATTAGAAGTGATATCACTCACTAACTTTCAGTTCTGACACAACATCTTTTACAGACCTGGGGAGAAATCTCCTCTGTTTGCTGTGCATCCACAATGAATACACGTGCCACATCTTCATGAGGTCCCAGCATCACACGTGTTATCAGGGGATATTCGTCGTCTCGAATTCTTCGTCTCTCTAAAACAAAAAGTCCCACTTTATGAGGCAAGTGGTCCTTGGTGTGATCCATATTATTATTTGTAAGTACAGTACTTAAATGTTCATATGTATATCACTTCTCCATAGGGAAGTGGAACAGAATTCTTCCTCTTTAAAACCCTTTCAGGGTTTCGGCCATACTAGTACGGCTTACGCACCAGTGTCCATGACGTACTAGTATGCCTAAATTCTAGCACCCTCAAATCTAGTGAGAGAAAGCTGGTAGGCCTACATATGAAAGAATGGGTCTATGTGGTCAGTGTGCGCAGTATAAAAAAAATCCTGCAGCACACAGTGCATAATGAGAAAAAAAAACTTCGACCGTGTTTTTGGATTAAAACAGTGACTTTGCACTGTATTTTCGTATGGCATTTATTGTTGTATTCTAGTTTTCCTGTCTCATTTTATAGAATGGAAGATATATTACAGAAATTGAGAGGATTTTGACTGGTTTTACAATGAAAAGTAGCTTGAAATTGAGCTCAAAGTAGCAGAAATGTTCGATTTTTACCAAAGTTCAAAAGTAAACAAATCATGCTATGCGTCCAATACACGTCAACTGGTGAGTCTAATATTCTTTCACAAGTGTGCTGATATTATTGATACTATTTCTAAACTAATGCAGTAGTCTGCATAACAGTAAATCTTCTATTTTTTTGTGAGAATAAAAATTCAAAGTGAAAAGCAAAAGAATGTAAGAGGGGCGTGGGGACGTGACCAATGAGCAGAGGAAATGTTATTTTAGTGCCAGGAATGTCTTTCTTGTTTATTCTGGGCCCTATTCGGAAATTGTCATCTTTTGAAATTTGTGTGAGATTGGCAAAATTGCTAAATTCTGACCACTGTATTGGATAGTTGAAATCGGTAAATGGGTGGTTTCTTGTACTCATTCGATAGAAAAAATGGAGTTCTAGCGAAATAGTTATGATTTTTGTCAACTAGTACACTGGAATTGGCCGAAAATAGGGCTCAAAGTGGGCAAAATCACCGATGCGTAAACATCATCGAGACCGCTAACTTCACGAGAGCATAATTCCCTAAGTTTTTCATCAAATTTCATACTTTTGGTGTCATTATGATCGGGAAAAGATTCTCTATCTTTTCATAAGAAAAAATAATTTTTTTTTTTAAATTTGGGGGACCCTGAGAACAAGTCTTGGAGAGGGCCTGTGGACCCTGAAAGGGTTAAGCCATGAGTGTTGTAAGAGGCGACTAAAATGCCATGAGCAAGGGACTAGTAATCCCTTCTCCTGTATAAAATACTAAATGTAAAAAAGAGAAACTTTCGTTTTTCTTTTTGGGTCACCCTGCCTCGGTGGGATACAGCTAATTTGTTGAAAAAAAAAAAAAAGTATATCACTAACTACAGCAAGGAACAATGGAATGCCCATGTTTTTAACTTCCTTGTTGATCCACAGACTTACTTTTGACTTGTTATTCAGTCAAAAGTATCTCAGTCCTCCTCACTCCAAACAGAAAATTTCTTGCACTGTTTTATCATTTACATTCAACGATACATATCTGAAAACATTCTATCTCTAGTACCTTTCATTTCAACAACTTCCTGCTTTCACTTATAAAACACAGATCAATATTAGTTATATAATGATCTTTTATTACTACACACATCATTTTTCTTGTTCTTATTTTTTCTTTTACTTTATTAGCCATCTCTCACCAAGATAGGGCAACTCAAAACAGGAAACATCACTTATTCATTCGCTGTTATGTGTACTGACATCACAATTCTGACGAGTCCCCAACTAGAGCATCTTCCACACTGCTTCCCTATCCACCTTATAGAATGCTTTTTCTAGATCCATAAATGCAATAAACAGCTCCTTATCCTTATTTATAAAATTCTTATTTATATGCTGTCATGTAAACTCTTGGTCTACACATCCCTTGCCCTTCCTAAACCCTCCTTGTCCCTCTGTAATCCTACTTTGTGGAAATAAATGGTATAAAATACCGACACAATGGAAATATAAACACATATGCACTATAATGTGATCCTTTATTGACTACGTTTCGCCCACACAGTGGGCTTTTTTAAGTCACAAACAGAACTACCTGGGGTGGAAGGAACGCGAGTATTTATAGTCAGGTTCAGAGTGCTGAGGTCAGGTGGAGAATGCTGCATCTGATGATGTACCGAGTGAGGTTATAGAGTCTAAAATCTTGGGTAGCTTGGAAAGGAGATTGGACAAGTTTGTGAGCAGACCTTCTACAGTGTTCTTATGTGGGATAGCGATGAAGAAGCTTCTTGGCAAGTGGTTCAGCTATGTTATAGAAGCCACTATTCTGGTTGAAGTTGTCGGATATAGAAATAAGTGATGATTCCAGGATTCTTCGGTATTGAGTGTTGTCTTCTGTGGCGATAAGTCTTGAGTTTCTGTAGTTTATCAAGTGGTTGTGTGAATTACGGTGTTGTACGCAGGCATTCCTTGTGTCGTCAGACCTGCTTGCGTATTGGTGTTCTGAAATACGTGTTTGGAGGTCCCTTGATGTTTCACCAACGTATAACTTGTTGCAGTCATTACAAGGGATTATGTATACCCCTGCAGAGGGTGGAAGCTTGTCCTGTCTATCACTGGTAATGTCCTTGATGGTCGTGGTTGTGGAGGTAGATACTTGAAATGAGGTATTGGAAAAGATGTTGGAAACGTGTTTGGCAATGGAGTTGGTGGGGAGGACTTCAACCAGAATAGTGGCTTCTATAACATAGCTGAACCACTTGCCAAGAAGCTTCTTCATCGCTATCCCACATAAGAACACTGTAGAAGGTCTGCTCACAAACTTGTCCAATCTCCTTTCCAAGCTACCCAAGATTTTAGACTCTATAACCTCACTCGGTACATCATCAGATGCAGCATTCTCCACCTGACCTCAGCACTCTGAACCTGACTATAAATACTCGCGTTCCTTCCACCCCAGGTAGTTCTGTTTGTGACTTGAAAAAGCCCACTGTGTGGGCGAAACGTAGTCAATAAAGGATCACATTATACTGCATATGTGTTTATATTTCCAATCCTACTTTGTCTTACCCTTACCTCTTTCATTAATGTTACCATGCACTTTACCCATATACTCAACAGGCTTATTCACCTATAATTTCTTACACAATCTCCTTTGTCCCCTTTTTCCTTGTATGTACAAAGGAACTATATGTGCTCCCTGCCAGTCCTTAGTAACTTTTCCTGTTACACTTTAAATATCTCAGTCTTAATAACATCTGTTTATTCCCCTTTCATGCCACCCACTGCATCAAGCACTATACCTCACATCCACTTATGGATCCTCCATACTCTTATAAGATGTTATTCCTGCCTGCCCAATACATGAAGTCACCTCCTCCCTTTCATAATAAGTATTCAACAATTCACCGAAATATTCTTTCTGCCTTTCCAGTACCACCACCTCCCCATCCAGCATCTTTCTATTCCATTATTAACTGCCAAATCTATTTGCTTCTCAGGCTTTCTGGCTTCATTAATCTCTCTCCATCACTGTTCCTTCTCACCAAAAACCTACTGATTAGGACTTATCTAATTTCATTGGCTCACCATTCTTAACTTCTTTTCCTCATATAATTTCTAAACTGTAAAAACTTCTCATGGCTTACTATTTCTAAATCCTTCCGTATAAATTACTGTGTGTAAAAAGAAAAAAAAAATCACACTTTTCTTCTTTTTCGTGTCACCCTGACTCGGTGGGAGATAGCTGGTATGCTGAAAAAAAAAAAAACTAATTCTCCCACTTTACCTTGTCATTCCACCAATCACTCCTCTTCCCACCATTATGTGAAGAGCTTAATCTGTTACTATAATTCAGTGCAAGGAATGGCAGATACTCGCTCCTCTGTCTGCTAATCACAAAAACACACTATTAAAATCAGGCTTCTACCATCTTTGGATAAAAACTGAATACCACATTGAAAAAAAATCAGGATGGAATCCAGTTGTTAGCTATATAATATTATTACTACTACTGGCCTGTCTTAAAGAGTGAAACCTGTGTGAGGTCTATCACTGGAAACTTACCACTGGTTTAGTGCCTCCTGCTTAATCTAATGATACTACTACTACTACTACCACTGTAAAATGCTGAATAAAGAGGGAGATGTGACAGATGAGAATATAGAAAATCCTTGATTTAATGTACTAATGGGGGAGCAAGTGGCCAGCAATGGCATTTGTGGTGGAATGAGATGAGACTGTTTTGACTTTGATCATAACAATAACAATAATTCTGTAATCAAAGGACTGTCTGTTATTTCCAAAACAAGTGATCCAACAGATTTTGTCTTGTATTCCCAAAGTCTGTTACATCAAGGATTTATTGTATTTTAAGAAATTGGTTAAAACAGATCAAACAGAGGCCGAAATTTCATGTTTAGGATGAGAAACAATGAGAACTATTAAAATAACTGAAGATCCATGAGTGAATGTGATGGAAGTGAAAGCAGTAGTAGAAAAAATCTAACAGCTGGAAAAAGAAGATGCTTGCGATAAAACTTCCAGTATTCACTTACACTTTTAATAAACAAAAAAGGCAAGTCACATATATGAAGAACCTCAACAATTTATGAATATGCCACTTCTTACCTCCATTGTCTTTAATCACAAACAGGGCGAAGTTTCGTGTTGACATTTCCACTCGGTACTTCTCCAACAGCATGTTGAGAACTTCCTCTGCTGTAACTAAGGATGTGACCCACACACTACATGGCGACCCATGGGGAGGGGTGAAGGAGCTTGTCTCTCTTAAATAGAAGTGGCCATTGATGGAGCACCGTCTCTGTCAATGACATGGGAAATTAATAACCCATGTAAACTAAAGTACCAAACTTTCATGAATGTAACAAACTGTATAAAGTTGTCATGTGAATTTGCCCTAGGTTAGCTAGGTGGCATCCTCATACCATGCCAATATTAAAGGTTAAGGATGCCACCTGGCTAATCCTGGTTCAAGTCCAAATGATGCTATGTTTGTACCTAATAATTCATGTAATAAAGTCTCTGATTTTTCTTTTTAATTTCTTAATGTCATTTATATAAACTTCTTTTGTAATTGTAGTACTTCATAAATCTTCTTCTTTTCTTTCAACACACTGGCCGTATCCCACCAAGGCGGGGTGGCCCAAAAAGAAAAACGAAAGTTTCTCTTTTTAAATTTAGTAATTTATACAGGAGAAGGGGTTACTAGCCTCTTGCTCCCGGCATTTTAGTCGCCTCTTACAACATGCATGGCTTATGGAGGAAGAATTCTGTTCCACTTCCCCATGGAGATAAGAGGAAAGAAACAAGAACAAGAACTAGAAAGAAAATAGAAGAAAAATCAGAGGGGTGTGTATATATATGCTTGTACATGTATGTGTAGTGTGACCTAAGTGTAAGTAGAAGTGGAAAGACGTACCTGAAATCCTGCGTGTTTATGAGACAGACAAAAGACACCAGCAATCCCACCATCATGTAAAACAATTACAGGTTTCCATTTTACACTCACTTGGCAGGACAGTAGTACCCCCCTGGGTGGTTGCTGTCTACCAACCTACTACCTTAATACTTCATAAATATAATGTGTTATTTCCTACAATCAAAAGCCAAGTGAATAGTAATTTTAAACCATACACCATGTAAATCAAGGAGACCTTTTATAAACATAACTGAGCACCTCTGCAAAGACAATGATCATGTATGAGTGATGGTGAAAATGATGAATGATGATTAAAGTTTTTTCTTTCTTTCTGGGTCACCCTGCTTTGGTGGGAAACGGCTGACATTTTAAAAAAAGAAAAAAAAATCAGTGATGAAATTAATAAGTGACTTGTGATCACTGAAAGGTGCCATAATGTAACTGAAGCTATGGAAATAAAATCATCAATTGGGACAAAGAATATTTCCTTTCACTTTTTCCTATGACAGTATTTACATGTGTTACCAAAGCTACATGATTTATGAGTTTATAAATAAAGAATTCCTAGGTAGTAGGTTGGTAGATTAGCAACCACCCAGGGAGGTACTACTGTCCTGCCAAGTGAGTGTGAAATGGAAACCTGTAATTGTTTTACACGATGGTAAGATTGCTCGTACTTCAACTGTCTCACAAGCACGCAAGACATCAGGTACATCTTGCTACTTTTACTTACATTTATGCCACACCACATATGCATGTACATGCATAAATATATACACACACATCTGGGTTTTCTTCTATTTTCTTAATAGCTCTTGTTCTTCTTTATTTCCTCTTATCTCCATGGGGAAGTGGAAAAGAATTCTTCCTCCATGAGCCATGCATGTTGTAGGAGGTGACTAAAATCCCAGAGGCAAGGGGCAAGTGGTTCCTTCTCCAGTATAAATTACTAAATCTGAGAAGAAAAACTTTCATTTTTCTTTTTCAAATCACCCTGCCTTGGTGGGATATGGCTGGTTTGTTGAAAAAAAAAATGTGAAAATGCTCATTTTATCAAGAAGAACTTGAACCTACATCAAAGTGAAAATGAATAGGACAATGGTGACAACAGCACATGAGAATGGAAGTTTGTAACAATAAGAAATAAAATAGAAAACAGTAGCTTATGAGAGGTTTTTACAAAGCAGAAGTAATATAAGAAGGGCAGAGTATATGGAGAGTAAAAGAAAGGTGAAGAGAGTGGTGAGAGAGTGCAAAAGGAGAGCAAATGATAGCGGGAGAGGCACTGTCAAGAAATTTTGCTGATAATAAGAAAAAATTTTGGAGATAAAAAAAAATTTTACCCCACAGGTACATCAAAATACTGGAGAAATACTTATACTGCATTTTTTACATTATCAATATTTTTATTTAAAATTTCTATGCAACAGAAGTGTCAGATATACAGTAGAGGATATATCACAAGAACAAATCACATTATTATAATTATTCATCTGATGCCTACCTTTAGCTTGGTCTTATCCATCCGTCTGCCTGGCCTCCTCCTAATTGCTGTACTTCCTGTCTTCATAGCCACCCTTCTTGAAGGTGTGTGATCATCAATGCTAGTATTAATTTCCACTGATTCTTTATTTTCTAGGACAGGTGTATTGCTGTTTTCATTATCAAGAACAGATTCATAATTTGGATATGAAGAATTGTTGTTGAGCATAACTTCTGGAGAGGAGTTTTTGCTTTTGGCATTGTTACGGGAGATAACATCACTCTGCAACCCAGAGTGAAGTGAACTGTCCTCTCTCATAGTAACATGCATCATACCATTTGATGGGTTTGAGGAGTTTCCACACTCTGCATCTAATATGGCATTCATGTTACGACATGTCTTATAGTCAGTATTCTTCCACATATCTCCATCATCATCATCCTCATCCTCCAACTCAGTTGAATTTTCTTTAGGTGTCTGATCCTTCAACTCTGTCCCACCCAAAATCCTACTACTGGCAGGTGTCCCATCATCTCTTGAAAGTGTTGCATCGGCTGATGTTCCAGGGATGAAAGGATTAACACTGTCTCTCTCCCTTAACCCTTGCTCACTAGGAAATATACAGGATACCGTGTTTCTTATTACAGTGGCTGATTTAGGAGTTTGTGGAGAGCTCGGAGACTGAGGAGTTCGCCAACCATTTAGACAATCATCGCGCCAAAGGGTCTGTTCCTTGGGAGCAATAATTAAGAAATACTGTAATAGAATATTTTCAAGTCTTTGAACATGTCTTAAAAATCTGAATGCATATTCAGTACAGTAGTCCATGGAGTTACAATGAGATGGAGTTATGATAATTCTGAGTTATGATTTACCCTCATAAATGAATTCAGTATTGAGCTGCAATGAAAAATTTGAGATATGATATGCATTTGTGACTTAATTACACTATTTTCGTGTTACGAAGTTATCATGGCCCCTAATGTGTGCAGCAAACTTTTAATTTTTCTGAAGATCAAACAAAAAATGGTGAAAAGATCTGATGAAACAATTAGAACTAGTGCTGAATATGGCTTTCCACAACCATCCCTACTATTATCAGGCAAAAACACAAATCTAGAAAGACTGTTGTTATGGTGGCTAAGAGAGAAAATGAAGGGAGATACATTGCCTGCAAGTGATATGTGAGCAAGGTACAGTAAAAGTTGCACTTCCAGGGATCTTGGAATGAACTGCGCAAAACCACATAATTTGGGGTTTGAGCTATGATAGTTTGGAGGTATGATATGTCTTGTAGAACAAATTAATACCCTAACTCTAGGGACCACTGTATGTCAAAAAAACACACAGTAAAACTTTAGTATACACAACACATTTTCTATCAAATAAGATACATCTGCATCAGACACAAACTAATTTGAGAAATTGTGCAAAAAAATTATAATATATGTTTTCATACATAAATTGTATTGCTATGAGCATATTAATTATAATACTATGCCCTAGTAATCAGGGCACCAGACAGTAAATGAGAAGCAGTGAGGCAGTAAGAATGAGACATAAAATTGACCAGCCTTAGCAAAACTAAGTCATAATTACATAAGTACACTACTGATAAATTTCTCCAATTACAAAAAATAGTTAAACAACCACCATCAATGGGGATTACATTCCTAGAATCTATAATCTGAGAGAACAACATGCTCAATTTTTTTCATTTTGTTTTGGAGAACATTTCTCTAAATATCATTAATCTGGTATATAATAAACATCATCTTTCTTCTTTCAACACGCCGGCCGTATCCCACAGAGGTGGGGTGGCCCAAAAGGAAAAACAAAAGTTTCTCCTTTCACATTTAGTAATATATACAGGAGAAGGGGTTACTAGGCCCTTGCTCCTGGCATTTTAGTCGCCTCTTACGACACGCATGGCTTACGAAGGAAGGATTCTGTTCCACTTCCCCATGGAGAATAATAAAACATATACAAGATAAATGGCCAAAATGGAAACAATATGATGGAAATTCTATGGTTACCTTTTCAGTTTAGGGGTGCCTTAAGCTCACAATAAAAAGGTGAATAATATCTATTGATGGGTTGCACATAAGTAAAAATGTTCATATTTTTGAAGGCTTTCAAGAAATTTTTAGGAAATTCCAATGTTTGGGGGATAATCAAATTTTGTAAATTATAGGGAAATTCAACTCTATAGGAAAATGTGGGAAAAAAAAAATGCTGACATTATGTAAGAAAATTTAAACAATGATCCCTAAAACATTTAGATTCTTTTTGCACTGACCTCATCCTCACTATCAGAGTAAAAGGCCGCAGAATTTGTAGTGGACCGTCTACGGACAGCAATCGTTCGCTGATCATCTTCTTCCTTAAGGTGGATGACATTACGCACTCCCCAGTATATCTTCAACACACCCTCCAAGATCATTCGCCCATTGGCCTGAAATGACAAAATTACACTAATTATCCACCCACCCATTCTATGATTTGTTTGCAACTGTGTTATTATGATTTCCTGAGTCAAGAGACATTTGTACTATTATATCAACCCTCTGAATTATACTTTAGGTAACCCTATACCATCTTCTCATTATCATGCTTCAAATTCTCTGCATAATATTCATACCATACATCACCCTCAAACATGATATATTTCCTACCTACAGCCTCCCATGTTCTGCACCCATATAACTGTGTTGGTACCACTCTACTCTGGTACAATTCCCTTTTTTGCATTCATGAATAAAGTTCCATCTCCAAAGTTGTCTCAATGCACCACTCCCCTTTATTCCCTCTTCTATTCCATGGTTTACCTCATCTTCACAGAACCATCCACTGACAAGTCCAATCCCAAATATCTGAAAACATTTACTTTATCCATACTCCATCCTTCCAATCTAATATCCAAGCTTTCATTGCCTAGATTTTTTTTGTTACCCTCATCACCTTGCTCTTTCCTACATTTTTATAATTTCCTTTTGCATTTTTTTTTAACAAACCCACTGTATACCACTGAGGTAGGGTGACCTATAAAGAAAAACAAAAGAATTTTTTGGGGTTTTTCTTTAAAAAATAAAAATAAATGTTTTTCTTTTTAAATTTAGTAATTTATATAGGAGAAGGGGTTATACCCCTTGTCCCACATTAAAAGTTTAAACCAATTTTAGAAAATTCAGTTGTCCCAGATTATGGGGTTCAACCAAAAATTGGGAAAAAAAAGGGGTTATAGTTGTCCACATTTAGTCGCCTCCTACCACAACAAGTTGGAAGGGGTTTTATCCCCTTCTCCCAGCAATGCCCCCCTACCAAACCCTTAAGGGGTTACTACCCCCTCCCCATTAACCCCTCAAACACACCATTTTTAAAAATTCCCCCTTGGGCTTAAGCACCTCCAAACACACCACAAAAGGGGTTTCTGAGTGTAAATTTAGTCACCTTACAAACCCCCCCCTTAAAAAAGGGGGGTAAACCCCTTGCTCCCGCATATTTCACCCCTAAAACACCAACTTGAAATTTTACTAGCCCCTGCTCCCCCAAAAATGTCACCTCCTACAAACCACGTTAAAATTATCCTTTCTCCCCTTTGTGCCCCCAAGAACCCCCTTTAAAATTCCCTCTCAATTATGGTACCTCCTAAAACAACCAAAATTGAAAGGGGGTTCACCCCTTCTACATTTAATCCCCCCCCAAAAAACCAAAGCTTAAGGGGGGTTTTTTTTGTTCCCTTAATCACCTCCTCAACAACACCTTGGGATTTTTTACCCCCATGTCCCACAAAAGTGTCCTAAAAAACAAGAAGGGGTTTTTTTTTAAAAATAACCCCCTAAAACCAAAGTTTGAAAAGGGGGGTTACTAGCCTTTGCCCCCCAGCATTATAGTCCCCCTACAACCACAAAAGTTGAGAAGGGGTTATACCCCCTTGCTCCAGCATTATATCCCTCCTACAACACACACCTTGAGAAGGTTACAAGCCTTGTCCGCTTTAGTCCCCCCACAACCACACAGCTGAAAAGGGGGTTATACCCCCTTGCTCCCGCATTATAGCCCAAAAACAACACACACAGTTGAGAAGGGTTACTACCCCTTGTCCCGCATTAAGTCCCTCCTCAACACACACAGTTGGGAAAAGGGTTTATCCTTTGCCCCCGCTTTATAGTCACCTCTAAAACCCCACAGTTGAGAAGGGGTTACTACCCTTTTTGCTCCCTTTAAAAGTCCCTCCTACAACAAAAAAGCTTGAGAGGGGTTACAGCCCTGCCCCCAGCTTTTATTCCCCCCACAACACACCCCGTTGAAATGGTTACACCCCTTGCCCCCAGATTATGTCACCTCCTACAACACACACAGTTGAGGGGGGGTTACTCCCCCTTGCTCCCACTTTAGTCACCTCAAACAACCCCCAACAGCTTGAAAAGGGGGTTTATACCCCTTGCTCCCGCATTATAGTCCCCCCAAACACACACACTTGAAAAGGGGTTACTCCCTTTTGCCCCCAGCATTAAGCCCCTTTCTACAACACACACAGCTTGGAAAAGGGGTTACTACCCCCTTGCTCCCAGCATTATAGTCCTCCTAAACACACACAGCTTGAAAAGGGGGTTACTCCCCCTTGTCGCATTATATCGCCTCCTAAACACACACGCGGGAAAGGGGTTTACTACCCCCTTTTCTCCGCATTATAGTCCCCTCTACAACACACACAGCTTGAGAAGGGGTTACTAGCCCTTGTCCCACATTAAGTCACCACTAAAAACACACACACTTTGAAAGGGGTTTACAAAAGCTCTTTGCTCCCAGCATTATAGTCCCCTCCTAAACACAAAGCTTTGAGAAGGGGTACACCCCTTCTCCAGCATTATAGTCGCTCCTACAACACAACAGCTGAATAGGTTTACAACAGCCCTTGCATCCAGATTTTTAGTCACCTCCTACAAAAAACCCAGCTTGATAGGGGTTACAAGCCCCTTGCTCCCAAGCATTATAATACCTCCCATATACAACACACACAGCTGAGAAGGTTACTAGCGCCCATTGCTCCAAGCATTAATAGTAGCCTCCCTACAACACACACAGCTTGAGAAGGGGTTATATGACCTTTGCTGCAGCATTATGTCACCTTACAACACACACACTTGAAGAATGGGGTAACTAGCCCTTGCTCCCAGCATTATCATGCCTCTACAAACCACATGCTGAGAAGGGTTACTAGCCCTTGCTACCCAGCATATATTCCTCCTACAACCACATGCTTGAGAATACGGTTACAACTCTCCTTGTCTCCGCATTATAGTCCACTCCAACAACACACACAGCTTGAGAGGGGTTATAGCCCCTTGCTTCCATGTTTAGTCATCCTCACAACACACACAGCTTAGAAGGGTTACTAGCCCCTTCTCCCAGCATATAGTCGCCTCCTACAACAACAACAGCTTGAGAAGGTTCCCTCAGCCCGCTTTGCTCCCAGCATTATAGTCACCTTTTCTTTTTACAAACCACACAGCTGAGAAGGGTTACTAGCCCGCTTGTCTTAATTATGTCCCTCCTACAACACACACAGCTTGAGAAGGGTTACTAGCCCCTTGCTCCAGCATTATAGTCGCCTCCTACAACACACACAGCTTGAGAAGGGTTACTAGCCCCTTGCTCCCAGCATTATAAGTCGCCTCCTACAACACACACAGCTTGAGAAGGGTTACTAGCCCCTTGCTCCCAGCATTATAGTCACCTCCTACAACACACACAGCTTGAGAAGGGGTTACTAGCCCCTTGCTCCCGGCATTATAGTCACCTCCTACAACACACACAGCTTGAGAGGGGTTACTAGCCCTTGCTCCCAGCATTAGTCACCTCCTACAACACACACAGCTTGAGAAGGGTTACTAGCCCCTTGCTCCCAGCATTATAGTCACCTCCTACAACACACACACTTGAGAAGGGGTTACTAGCCCCTTGCTCCCAGCATTATAGTCACCTCCTACAACACACACCAGCTTGAGAAGGGGTTACTAGCCCGCTTGCTCCCAGCATTATAGTCACCTCCTACAACACACACAGCTTGAGAAGGGGTTACTAGCCCCTTGCTCCCAGCATTATAGTCACCTCCTACAACACACACAGCTTGAGAAGGGGTTACTAGCCCCTTGCTCCCAGCATTATAGTCACCTCCTACAACACACACAGCTTGGAGGGTTACTAGCCCTTGCTCCCGCATTATAGTCGCCTCCTACAACACACACAGCTTGAGAAGGGTTACTAGCCCTTGCTCCCAGCATTATAGTCGCCTCCTACAACACACACAGCTTGAGAAGGGGTTACTAGCCCTTGCTCCGGCATTATAGTCACCTCCTACAACACACACAACTTGAGAAGGGGTTACTAGCCCCTTGCTCCCAGCATTATAGTCGCCTCCTACAACACACACAGCTTGAGAAGGGGTTACTAGCCCTTGCTCCCAGCATTATAAGTCACCTCCTACAACACACACAGCTTGAGAAGGGGTTACTAGCCCCTTGCTCCCAGCATTATAGTCGCCTCCTACAACACACACAGCTTGAGAAGGGGTTACTAGCCCTTTGCTCCCAGCATTATAGTCACCTCCTACAACACACACAGCTTGAGAAGGGGTTACTAGCCCCTTGCTCCCAGCATTATAGTCGCCTCCTACAACACACACAGCTTGAGAAGGGGTTACTAGCCCCTTGCTCCCAGCATTATAGTCGCCTCCTACAACACACACAGCTTGAGAAGGGGTTACTAGCCCCTTGCTCCCAGCATTATAGTCACCTCCTACAACACACACAGCTTGAGAAGGGGTTACTAGCCCCTTGCTCCCAGCATTATAGTCACCTCCTACAACACACACAGCTTGAGAAGGGGTTACTAGCCCCTTGCTCCCGGCATTATAGTCACCTCCTACAACACACACAGCTTTAGAAGGGGTTACTAGCCCCTTGCTCCCAGCATTATAGTCGCCTCCTACAACACACACAGCTTGAGAAGGGGTTACTAGCCCTTTGCTCCCGGCATTATAGTCGCCTCCTACAACACACACAGCTTGAGAAGGGGTTACTAGCCCCTTGCTCCCAGCATTATAGTCGCCTCCTACAACACACACAGCTTGAGAAGGGGTTACTAGCCCCTTGCTCCCAGCATTATAGTCGCCTCCTACAACACACACAGCTTGAGAAGGGGCTACTAGCTCCTCGCTCCCGGCATTATAGTCGCCTCCTACAACACACACAGCTTGAGAAGGGGTTACTAGCCCCTTGCTCCCGGCATTATAGTCGCCTCCTACAACACACACAGCTTGAGAAGGGGTTACTAGCCCCCTTGCTCCCAGCATTATAGTCACCTCCTACAACACACACAGCTTATGGAGGAAGAATTCTGTTCCACTTCCCCATGGAGATAAGAGGAAATAAAGAAGACCGAGAACTATTAAGAAAACAGAAGAAAACCCAGATATATGCGTGTACATGCATGTGTAGTGTGACCTAAGTGTAAATAGAAGTAGCATGATATATCTGATATCCCACATGTTTATTATTGTTATTTTTTTTTGCAGAATGTAGATATCCTACAAAGCAGTTAATTAAAAGAGGGCGAGTTAAAAAACAGTGATAAGATTTAGCCCTTTGACTGTCACAACCTCAAATCCTGAGGTGTCTCTTGGTGTTGAAAAATTTTTGAGAAAAAAAAAAAAAAAAAAAAAAAAAATCTTATGAAATGATAGAGAATCTTTTCCTGATGGTAATGACACCAAAAGAATGAAATTTTATGGAAAACGTACAGAATTACACTCTTAGCAACCTCAGCAATATTTATGAATCGGCGATTTCGCCCACTTTGAGCCCTATTTTCGGCTAATTCCATTGTTCGTCGACCAAACTCGGCTATTTCTTTAGAATTCCATTTGATCTATCGACTGAGTACAAGAAACTGCCCATTTACCAATTTCAACTACCCAATAACATTGTCAGAAATTTGCAATTTGGCCAATTTCATGGAAATTAAAAAATATGGCAATTTCAAAATAGGGTCCAGAATGAACAATGCAGACATTCCTGGGTCTAAAATAACATTTTCTTTGTTCATCAGTCACATCTCCAGTCCCCTCTGATATTACTCTTGCTTTCTATTTTGAATTTTTATTCAAACAAAAAATAGAAGATTTACTGTTATGTAGACTACTGCAATATTGTACTAATTGTATAAATAACATCAATCCATTCATGACTGCATATTAGAATGGCTAGTTGGACATTTATTAGACAATGACATCATTTGTTTACTTTTGAACAACGGCAAAAATCAAACATTTCCCTTACTTTGAGCTCCATTTCAAGGTTCTTTTCATAGTAAAACCAATCAAAATCATCTCTATTTCTATAAAATGTTTTCCATTCTATCAAATGAGACCAGGAAAACGAGAATACAACCATAAATACTATACAAAAATACACCACAAAGTCGGCGTTTTAATCCAAAAAAGGTCGGAGTTTTTTTTCTCATTATGCACTGCATGCTGCAGGTTTTTTTTATATGGTGCACACTGACCACACGGACCCTTTCTCTCACATGTGGGCCTACCAGCTTTCTTTTGCTTGATTTGAAGCCATTAGAATTTTTGAGTATATATATACATCAAACACATTGGCTCGTAAGACGTATATATACGGCTGAAACAGTCAAAGGGTTAATATGAGACCTGCTTACCTCTCTGCTCTTCAGTTCTCCTGGTTTACCTTCATAGTACTGGTTATAAGCCTTTAACTTGGCTTCAATGTGAGATCTGAAACACGAGAGTCATACAGATTATACTACTAAAAGATTGAATGTGTTTTACTGCTTCCCATTCTGAGCATAAAGTATTTAATAGAGTCAGTCATCATGTTTTTGACAAAAATACAATTATGAGATTAAGAGATTATTTTATTTCCATAGTCAAACAATGCTACACATATCAGGAGGAAGCACCAAATTCTTAAGGGTCACCTTGAAGGTAAGAGGGTTTGATTTGAAGGGAAGGATAGCCCCAATTTTTTGGATCAAGAACCCTTTACAAGAATTAAGGTATCCCTTCCTTTGAAGGGAAAATAGTTCACTACTGATGAAACAACTTTCATTTTTTCCTTAACCCTTAAACGGTCCAAACAGATCGACGTTCAAATTCGTAATGCTACAAAAGTAATCTACTTTTTTTTGTATATTTTCAAATATAACAAAAAAAAATGTAGATAAAATTTTTTTTTACACGTTTTTAAATGTAAAACAAAAAAGAAGATCTACATTTTTTCACATACTTTCAGATGTTGAAAAAACGTATATATACGTTTGGACCATTTAAGGGTTAAGGAGCAAGAACATGGCACTTATGTTTATTCAAGTAGTTACTAACAGACAGACTATATATTGAGGATCTATTTGTACACATTATTTGTTGCATCCCAAAATGTGCAGGTTATGAAAATAAAGCATTTTTGGCAGGAAAAATAAAAATAAGAAAATCCCTAAAATTATCTCAGACTGGAATAAAATGTTGAATTCATTATTATAACACTATAAAGAAGGAAGATGCTAAGAAAATCCATTGATAAATTAAAGAAGAGTAATACAGTGGACCCCCGGATAACGATATTATTTCAATCCAGAAGTCTGTTTGGGTGCCGTTATAGACCGAATTTGTTCCCATAAGAGATATTGTGAATTAGATTAGTCCGTTTCAGACCCCCAAAAATACACTTACAAAAGCACTTACAAAAATACACTTACATAATTGGTCGAGTTGGGAGCTGATCGTTATGCGGGGGTCCACTGTATTCTACTACTGTATAATAATGACTTGCATTCAGTTATCACTGTCACCAAGAGAACTTTTAAACAAGTTGCCTAGAACCCACATCCAAACAACTCATTTCATATGGCTAGGTACAGTAAATTCACTAACTTAGCTCTGCAACCTGGATTTTCTTAGTTTGTTTATTAATATGGCATTTTCCAAGGACATCTATATTCCATAAAACCGATATACAGGTCTAACTTGCAAACAAGCTATGTTTTTTGTATTTCAGACTTACAAATGGACTGGATGTATAGAATACAACAGTATAAAAGATGGTTATACTTTATAAATTTGTATAATGTGGATCAGCTCTTGTAAAAACATGAATGGTTCCTAAGTGGCCCTGTTCATAAAGTCAGATGTTTGTAACCTGCAGTATTAGTAAGTTAGGATATCTGGTGTATATCATTAAAATTCTGAACTGAAAACCACTTAAGAACAACACGACTTCAAATCTGCATACCAGTATTATTCTAAATTTGTAACAAGAGGTATTTGATGATTGATATTAACAGAGATAATGACTTTCAAAAATAAAACTGTTGGTATGAGGAAAGTCAAAGAATATGGTAAAGTGTATGAAGAAATAAGATGACTTCAATAAAACTAACCTCTTCACCTGGCCATCCCTGTTCTCCACCTTCCCAAATGATGTGTGACATTCATTGCGAGTACCATGACCAAAGAGTTGGGGGCCAAACAGTGCTCCATAACAAGGGTGATGGCAATATGGCACTCCCTTGTGCTGAAAAAAAACAAAACAAGAAATTACACTACTATATCTATTATATTCATGGAGAAATGTTAAACTGTAGGGGTCAACAATGCCTGGGAAAGGGAGGTAATCAGGTATGGTCCCAAGGACAACATATCTCCAATTCCTTGGATCAAGATGCCTTCATCAGCATCAGCACACACACCCCCTTGAAGGGGCTACTTTATCTACTCGGAGTTACTGAAACATCCATAAGGGCTGGCATCAAACAACTCGATCAATAATCAAATGGTCAAATTTTAATTTCTCAATACTAGAGTTATTAAGAAAATTATAACGAAGTCAAATACAGTAACTGTCATTAGCAAAATACGCATGAAAGAAAAGCTTAAATATTTACATAAAATATACGATATGCCAATACAGTGGTACCTTGAGTTTCGAACAGCTCCCAACTCGAACAATTATGTAAGTGTATTTTTGTAAGTGCTTTTGTAAGTGTATTTTTGGGGGTTTGAAATGGACTAATCTAATTTATGTTATTCCTTATGGGAAGAAATTCGTTCGGCATCTACACTCGAAGAGCCTTCTGGAACAAATTAAGTTCGTAACTCGAGGTACCACTGTACACGTAAAAAATTAAAACAATATACAGCAGTAGATGTGGTACTTTTACAGCCCAATACTTACCTCTGCATGCTGGCCAGGATTCAGCCGCTTGCCACATTCTTCACAGCGCAAGCAATTTGGGTGCCAGTCGAACCCCAGTGACTGCTTTCTCTCTGCTAAAATTGTAGATTTCTCTTAGACTAGTCTAAGGAGTGCATGTCCATCAGTTTTAAAACATGTACCATGAGATAATACTCATTATACAAAAACTTTTTTTCAGCAAAGCGGAGCTTTGAATTCTTAGCTAAACTATTAATGAGATAAAATCAAGGTTTCAAGGTATATAAATGTAGTCATCATGGGAGCTTTTAATTTCTGCAAAACTGACTGAAGTACAGTAAGCTGACTATGAATAAAGGATCTCATAACTATTTCAAAGCAGTTTTCAACTGAGAACAACTTACATGATATGATTCTGGCAAATAAGGAAATGTTGCTTAAATACTGAAATCAAGGAAGAGCTTGGAAAATCAAATCATAAATTTATTAATCTGTTACTTTGAATTTTTCTGATAAGAAAGGTAACAGTCAAGATTTAAATTTTCACTGCAGACTATGTTGGGGTAAACCTGACTAGGGATTATTTCAAAGATCTTACAAGAGGAATGAAATAATTATCAGTGAGAGACATTTCAAAAAGTTATAAAAACTGCCCAAACAACACATGTTTTTCACACAGAAATCAGATTAAATAAAAATGACCCTAAGTGGATAAGCAAGAAGAGAAGCTATTACAAGTTATCAAGAGGAGAGGATCACCTTACTATCCAATAGCGTATGTTCAAATAAACAAGAGACTAAAAAAAAAAAAAAGGAATAAGAAAAGCCAAATGAAAATACTAAATCAATTTTTTTTAGGGAATCTACAACCGATGCTAAAGAAACTTTCCACCTATATATGAAAATGGAGATGAATCCCCTACACAACCAACAATGTTTAAAACAAAACATAAAACATGTATAAATAAGGCACCTTGAATTTTTTTGTGTTATCCTAGGTAATTTACACATACATGTTACTATGTATGATAATTGTGCTTATGTGTACCTGTATCTAAATAAACTTACCAAACCTATCTTGGTACAACGTTTTTACCTGTGCATCAGGTTTTTCTTAAAGCCAATGTAAAATGAACTAGAGGCACTGAACTACTACTCAATATTCAATCTATAATCCACAAATATACAAGGACAAACTAGGACACAAAATCTAACAAGTTCCTCAAAGGAAAAAAAATAAAAGAGGTCAACGTAGATATTGATTAATATTTTGTAGCATCGTAACACCTTGATCACTGACACATTAAGCTAATACATCAATAACAAATATTCTAAGAGTGAGTAGACAGGTGAAAATTTGCTATAATTGTATTAATAAGGTTATATACGGGTCTACGCAGAGGGGAAGCCAGAAGGGCGTATCCCACCACCTCAGTACCTGTTAAATACTCTTATTTACCGAAATAAACAGGGCGGCCGCACTTTCTACATTGCCACATCTTGAAGGTATGTCAACTGGTGGGCCTCAGCATGTTCTGAATCACCGCATGTTGCTCACAGTAAGATTATTACAGTAATATAATCGCTGGGCCTCCATAAACATTAGCCAGACAACACTGCTGCTACTTCCGCCTTGTAAAATCCTTATCTTATAAACTTGCGTATCTAATCTTTTATAATAATACTCGACATTAAAACATTTTGTAAATATAGAAAATCATGATGGAAATAATTTTGATAACCATATTCTTTATCGAGGACATAAATTGCGATATTTATACTACTGAATATAATACGGAAAAATCAACGCAAACATTCCAAAGAAGCGTTCATAGAGGTGAAGATGCGCCAGGCTGATGATACTCACTATAATAATAATAATATCTTTATTTATACAAGTACATGTACAAGGTATACAGACCATAGCTGACATCAGTGACATACTACTATATAGAAAGCCGCTTGTTATGCTGAGCATTTCGGGCAAATTAGGTCAAGTTTTGTCCCAGGATGCGACCCACACTAGTCCACTAACACCCAGGTACCTATTTTACTAATGAGGAACATAGACAAAACGTGTAAACACACCCAATGTTTCTACCCTTGCTGGGAATGAATCTGAACTCTCGTGTGAAAGGAGAGAGCCACCATTATTATTATTATAATCAAGGGGGAAGCACTAAACCCGTAGGATTATACAGCGCCTATGGGGGGATGGAAGGCATTCAGGCTTAATTCAGGGAACTGGAGCACAGATCCAATTCCCTAGATCAAGAGCCCCTCACCAGCGTCAAGGAGCCTTCCTTGAGGGGTGAGAGAGCCACCAGACCACAGGGCTCCACACACCCAAAACTCTCACCCACTCTTAAATTATTATTATTAGCACTGTTATGGAAGATGGGATTATTATAATCATGGGGAAGCGCTAACCCCCTAGGGATTATACAGCGTCTGTGGGGGGGATGGAATGTATTTAGGCTCATTTCAGGGAACTGGAACACAGATCCAATTCCCTAGATCAAGAACCCCTCACCAGCGTCAAGGAACCTTCTCTGAGGGGTCTCTTGAAGACAGCCAGAGGTCTATTGGTAATCTCCTTTATGCATGCGGGGAGGAAATTGAACAGTCTTGGGCCCCCTCATGCTTATTGTGTTGTCTCTTAGCATACTCATGGCGCCCCCGCTTTTCACTGAGAAGGGGGGGAGATGTTGCACTGCCTGCCGAATCTTTTGCTTTTGCAGGGAGTGATTTGTGTGTGCAGATTTGAGACTACTCTCTCTTAGATTTTCCAGGTGTAAATTAAGCTGTACCTTTCTCGCCTGCGTTCTAAGGAGCACAGGTCAAGGGACTTCAACCGTTTCCAGTAATTTTGGTGCTTTATTGTACATATACGTGCAGTGAAAGTTCTCTGTATATTCTCCATGTCTGCAATTTCGCCTGCCTTGAAAGGGACCGTTAGTGCACAGCAGTATCCCAGCCTACAGAGAACAAGCGATTTGAAGAGAATCATTGGCTTGGCATCCCTACTTTTGAAGGTTCTCATTATTCATCCTATAATTTCTCTAGCAGATGTGGTAGATACATTGTTGTGATCTTCGAAAGTTATTTTCTCCGACATTATCACTCCCAGGTCCTTCACATTAGTTTTTCGCTCCATTGTGAGGTTGGAATTTGTTTTATACTCCGATACAGTTTTAATTTCCTCGAATTTTCCATGGCGGAGTAATTGAAATAGGTCTTCATTGAACTTCATATTGTTTTCTGAGAGGCCCATTTAAAGACTTGGTTAATGTCCGCTTGGAGATTTGCAGTGTCTCCGATGGATGAGACTGTCATGTAAATTCTGGTATCATCAGCAAAGAATGACATGGTGCTGTTTACCTGGAGAGAGTTCCGGGGGTCAACGCCCCCGCGGCCCGGTCTGTGACCAGGCCTCCTGGTGGATCAGAGCCTGATCAACCAGGCTGTTACTGCTGGCTGCACGCAAACCAACGTACGAGCCACAGCCCGGCTGGTTAGGTACCGACTTAGGTGCTTGTCCAGTGCCAGCTTGAAGACTGCCGGGGGTCTATTGGTAATCCCCCTTATGTATGCTGGGAGGCAGTTGAACAGTCTCGGGCCCCTGACACTTACTGTATGGTCTCTTAACGTGCTAGTGACACCCCTGCTTTTCATTGGGGGGATGTTGCATCGTCTGTCAAGTCTTTTGCTTTCGTTGTGAGTGATTTTCGTGTGCAAGTTCGGTACTAGTCCCTCTAGGATTTTCCAGGTGTATATAATCATGTATCTCTCCCGCTTGCGTTCCGGGGAATACAGGTTCAGGAACTTCAAGCGCTCCCAGTAATTGAGGTGTTTTATCTCCGTTATGCGTGCCGTGAAGGTTCTCTGTACATTTTCTAGGTGGTCTGGTGGCTAAAGCTCCCGTTTCACACACGGAGGGCCCGGGTTCGATTCCCGGCGGGTGGAAATTCCGACACGTTTCCTTACACCTATTGTCCTGTTCACCTAGCAGCAAATAGGTACCTGGGTGTTAGTCGACTGGTGTGGGCCGCATCCTGGGGGACAAGATTAAGGACCCCAATGGAAATAAGTTAGACAGTCCTCGATGACGCACTGACTTTCTTGGGTTATCCTGGGTGGCTAACCCTCCGGGGTTAAAAATCCGAACGAAATCTTATCTTATCTTATCTTAGCAATTTTTTCACCTGCCTTGAAAGGTGCTGTTAGCGTGCAGCAATATTCCAGCCTAGATAGAACAAGTGACCTGAAGAGTGTCACCATGGGCTTGGCATCCCTAGTTTTGAAGGTTCTCATTATCCATCCTGTCATTTTTCTAGCAGCTGCGATTGATACAATGTTATGGTCCTTGAAGGTGAGATCCTCCGACATGATCACTCCCAGGTCTTTGACGTTGGTGTTTCGCTCTATTTTGTGGCCAGAATTTGTTTTGTACTCTGATGAAGATTTAATTTCCTCATGTTTACCATATCTGAGTAATTGAAATTTCTCATCGTTGAACTTCATATTGTTTTCTGCAGCCCACTGAAAGATTTGGTTGATGTCCGCCTGGAGCCTTGCAGTGTCTGCAATGGAAGACACTGTCATGCAGATTCGGGTGTCATCTGCAAAGGAAGACACGGTGCTGTGGCTGACATCCTTGCTATGTCAGATATGAGGATGAGAAACAAGATGGGAGCGAGTACTGTGCCTTGTGGAACAGAGCTTTTCACCGTAGCTGCCTCGGACTTTACTCTGTTGACTACTACTCTCTGTGTTCTGTTTGTGAGGAAATTATAGATCCATCTACCAACTTTTCCTGTTATTCCTTTAGCACGCATTTTGCGCGCTATTACGCCATGGTCACACTTGTCGAAGGCTTTTGCAAGGTCTGTATATATTACATCTGCATTCTTTTTGTCTTCTAGTGCATCTAGGACCTTGTCGTAGTGATCCAATAGTTGAGACAGACAGGAGCGACCTGTTCTAAACACATGTTGCCCTGGGTTGTGTAATTGATGGGTTTCTAGACGGGTGGCGATCTTGCTTCTTATGACCCTTTCAAAGATTTTTATTATGGGATGTTAGTGCTATCGGTCTGTAGTTCTTTGCTGTTGCTTTACTGCCACCTTTGTGGAGTGGGGCTATGTCTGTTGTTTTTAGTAACTGTGGGATGACCCCCGTGTCCATGCTCCCTCTCCATAGGATGGAAAAGCTCGTGATAGGGGCTTCTTGCAGTTCTTGATGAACACAGAGTTCCATGAGTCTGGCCCTGGGGCAGAGTGCATGGGCATGTCATTTATCGCCTGTTCGAAGTCATTTGGCTTCAGGATAACATCAAATAGGCTTGTGTTAAGCAAATTCTGTGGCTCTCTCATAAAAAATTCATTTTGATCTTCGACTCTCAGTCTGGTTAGCGGCTTGCTAAAAACTGAGTCATATTGGGACTTGAGTAGCTCACTCATTTCCTTGCTGTCATCTGTGTAGGACCCATCTTGTTTAAGTAGGGGCTTACATCTCTGTCAAATATGGGGATGAGGGAAAGGATGGGAGGGAGTAGTTTACCTTGTGGAACAGAGCTTTTCACTGTAGCCTACAATGACCTGACTGTTTACTATTACTTTTTTGTGCCCTATTTGTTAGGAAGTTATAGATCCATTTACCAACTTTTCCTGTTATTCCTTTATCACGCACTTTGTGCGCTATTACATCATGTGTATACTGCATCTGCATTTTGTTTGCCCTCAAATGTATATTATATTTAGATATTATTATATTATCAATTATTCTTTATTACTCTATTATTGTTGCTGTTGTTGATATTATCATTATATTTCTGGATCCATTAAACCTACGGGCCACTAAGCTCCTGAGGAATGGAAAGTAACAAGTTTGATACGAGAAACAGAATAGCTTCAATTCCTTGGATCACCAGCAAGCACCAGCACCAAGGCACCACTTTCCAACACTAGAAAAGTAGCAGTAAATGGGTACCTTGGAATTAGTCGACTGTTTAGGACTGCATCCTGGGAAAAGACCCACTTTGGTTTTTCTTGGGTTATTAACCCTCTGGGGTTACTAATGTGAAGTCTATGTTCTTGAGTATTCTCTTTTCAAGGTGAAGAGCTCTTGATCCAAAGAGCTGGAACTGTCCTCCCGTTGAATTAAACCTGATTATCTCTCTCTCCCAAGATGTTGTAAGATCTATACATTTATCGCTTCCATATGGATGAATAAGGAGGAGGAAGGAGAGGAGGAGGAGGAGGAGGAGGAGGAGGAGGAGGAGGAGGAGGAGGAGGAGGAGGAGGAGGAGGAGGAGGAGGATGAGGAGGAGGAGGAGAAGAAGAAGAAGAAAAAGAAGAAACAACTAGATGACTAAGACACGAGTACAATACTTGGACATCTTATTGTGAAGATGTTTCGCCAATCAGCAGTTTTATTAATCCAATACAGAGAATGATACTGAATACAGTGGAAAACATGAGATGGTAGTTTGAGGTCTCAGACCAGTCCCTCAGCCTGAAAAAGGGGTTTTCAGTCCCGAAGTCTTGATGACCCTTGAGTCATGTGTACTGGCAGCATTCACCAAATTCAACTTCAATAACAAAAACATAAAGTGGGAC